CTCTTATGTCACCATAGTTCAGCTCCGACAGTGACGGAGTATATGCCACTCACCTTACCACTTCTGAGAGTGAGGGTGAGCACCAGGAGTTGCAGGCTGCCATCTTTGAGCTTTAGGATTATGAACTACTATTCGCCCAACAGGCTGAGCTGTGATCTAAGAGGATGCATGATCCATTTAGGATCAGAGTGCCTGAGAGTCATACTCCTCATCCCGTTCCAGAGCAAGTTGTGATTTCAGCACCACCTACAAAGGGTCCTCCTCCCCGTTCTATGAACAGACTAAAGGCCGAGGGACTGAGGACAATCATAGATATAAGAGGTTGTCGATCTATGGAGTAATAGAGAGGTTCCCAGACATCTTGAGCTGCTTGAAGTCCCAAAAGTACAAGATCTTCTCTAGACCCCGTGGCCCTTACATTCCGAATTGGGTCCGAGAAATCTACATTTCCTATAGAGCCCTATTCCCACTAGGGAAGAAGTAGGCCGCTAAATTCAAGATGGTTGATTATGTGGTTGTCTGGGGCAAGAAGGTCAAATGTGACAGTGATGACATCAATACAGTTTTGGAGTGCATCAGCAACATCTCAGATGACTATTAACACATGAACAAGACAAAGTCATTGGAGACTCTGAAAAACTGGTTGTCCCCTATGATATCTGATGGCACTCCTCGCTGGTTTGAGGAAGGAGCTCCAATAGAGAAGAAGGAACTCAATGTAGTAGCGAGGTACTGGTTTGGCTTTATCAATAGTACTATCATGCTATTCTAGAATGAGTCTATTCTCTGCCACACAAAGGCAACCTGTCCTGGTTGCATTATTGACGGGAGCAGACTCAACATTGTATGATTTTTGGCCAAGAGATGTCCATGAGGGCTAGGCAGCGCCAAAGCTCTCTACCTTTTCTAGAGTTGATCACCGAGTTGTGCAGACGAGCCTGAGTGCCCTTCGATGCGAAGAAGGATGTGGAATTGATTCCCATATCTTCTACCACTATCCGGCGGATTGAGGCTTAGTATCTAAAGATGAGGCAAAAAAGAAGAAGGCAGCCCTGGTGGACACCTCCCCGGTTATCTATATCAATACATTACCTGCAGAGGCAGTGTTGCCTACTTCGTCCCCTGGCCCTTCAGGTGTATCTAGTGATGTTCCTTATGTGACTCCTAGCCCTTCTACAGCTCCCATGCCTCCTAGGTCTACTACTGTTGTCGTTGCTCCCTGACCTTCAATCACCCAGGCTGCATTACTACAGATGGGGCAGCTAGCCTACTCTATGGATAGGCGTGCCTCTACGCTTGAGGCCAGAGTTCGTGGGATGATAGAGAGGGTCGTCACTGCAGTTGTGATACCCCTTAGCATGTCTATTGATGCCCTTGAGAAATGGATAGCGGTGTCTCAGCGAGGCCAGGAGGCCACTGATTAGGTAATAGGTCTAAAGGCCGCAATTGCTGAGCTAAAGAAGGATGTGGACCAACTGATGTCCACGATTTTTTGAACTGCGGAGATCCCTGATATGCCAGCTGATACAGGTGTGCCTCTGGTTACCACTAGAGATGAGGTTCGAATTGAGGAGGTAGTTGTTGCGGTGTCTGAGGCTTAGACTGATAAGGAGCAGCTTGGAGTTGATGAGGAGGCTACTTATGAGGGCCTTACAGAGGTTGAGGAGGCGATGCTAGATTCACCCGTGCAGATTTCATTGGCAGACACCACCATCCCTGGATCTAGTGTTGCTCCTATCCTGGGCATCGTGTTGTACTGGGCACTAATGACCCGACAGATGGAGCGATTGTCTAGAGATGACTTTTCTTCACCTCTCTCTCTTTCATTTTCATTGACTTTTTAGTATTTTTTTTGCATTTGATGACAACTGCTTTTTGTATTTATGGTGGGGTGAGGTATTTCCATACCTACCTCTTGTGACTACTTCTTTCGTTTATATCGGGTTTTTATGTTTAAATGGTGTGTTGATATTGTTTTGTGGATGTTTGAACTTATGGCTCCTTGTTTTGAATAGAAATTGTTTTTAATCCCTCTAAAAGATTTTGCCACCTCTTGTGTGTGAATGTGGTTGTTCTTGTGCAAATTTGATTGTCGGTTATGATCAATATCGATGACTTGAATAGTTCACTTAATCGAACAAATATGAATGTGCGGCTACGATGAGGCCAAATGATGTTGCATAGACAATATGTGAACTTTTTGCATCTCGTTGTGACGAGCCGATTATCGAATGAGTCTCTTTTTGTGAGAATTGCACACTAGGGAAAGTTTGGAGTCATTTTTTATATTGGTTCCAATACCTTGTGTGATGAGCCTACCGTGAACCTTATGTGATCACACCTAGAATTTGCCTCGTTTGTCTAGTTGACTAAGTAATGCAAGCTCTTGAAATGATCTTAGGCAACAATTTTAAAGAGTGAAAGAATTCCACAATATACGTCTTTTGTGGACAACGTTGTGAGTGTGTGAACTTTGCTTGAAACCCTTTTAAGCCTTATCCTTTTCTTGGACCAAACTTAATGCAATTGTAACTCCTCTTTATCTATTCACCCATAATCCTCATGAACTGTGTTTTGTTTGAATAGACAACTTAACCAAAAGACTATGTTGGGGGTGTGGTGAAAAGATAAGGTAAATCAAAATGTGTGAAGAAGTCTCCCTTTATCACTACTAGAAATTTGACCTAATGCAACGCTTATTCAACAAGAATTTTACAACTGTGGCAATAAAGTATGTCTTGCGACAATTATGACCGTTGGGATATATGCTTAGATCTAATAGAACAATTCTTAATATAAACCATTGCATCATCTATATAATCGTCGCTATAGATTATCTATGGCCACATACTTATTAACTGTGGCAAAAAAATCCTCTGTGGCAACAGTTCGTTTAAGTGAAAATTAAAAAAAAATTGCTAAACCCGTGAATTTTATGTGTAAAAAATTAATTTCCCTCCACAAATTTAGTTGACCCGCACTTTTCTTATTTCAGTGAAATAAGAGCTCAAAATACATTCCCAAATACACATTTCATTTCTCTACTAATCAAAATCTAAGCATGAGTTAGCCCTAAAATTCCAGAGCTCCGGTCAGTCCTACAGTGGTCTTCTTCGACAGCAAAAGAACGAGTTTTCCCTAAAATTCCAGAACTCCGGTGACTCCAACAGTGGTCTTCTTTGACAACAAAAGCATGAGTTTGCCCTAAAATTCCAGAACTTCGGTGACTCCTACAGTGGTCTTCTTCGACAGTAAACTTGGAGCTTCGATGAAGAATCAGTTCCTTCTCATACAGTTGTCTTCTTCTCCGGTGTGAAGTGTTCATCTTCTCCAAAAGTAGTCTTCTTCAACATTAAGCTTCTACATATAAAGGTGTACTGTTCTTAAGGTGATTTCTAAGTCCTCATTGACTCTATTTTGTTATACATGTACTATTTTCCAAAATCAGAAATTTCATTGAAGGGCTTCTAAAAAAATCTTAAAGAATAACAAATGGGTTTGTTGAAATGTTTGTTATTTGTTCTGATTTAGGTCTGTTTGATATTCTCCATTTGTATTTTAGACTTTGTAACTCAAATTTTGTGAAGATTTGATAAATCTGTGAAAATCATTGAAAAGCTGGATTTCGTTTGTATGAAATAACTGCTAATTTGTAGTTGATTTTGTCCTAGGGCTTTGAATATTATGATTTGCATTTTGAGTTTGATCTATCTATGTGAACTAAAATTTTCCATTGGTCGAAAGTTTGAAGTTATTATTGTGAACTTTAATTTTCATATCATTATGAATGTTTTCAAAGTTTACTGATATAGCTACTGTCATAGATGATAAGTTAAGTTGAACAAAACATTTTTTTCAACTGATGGGGAATATATATAAAACAGTTGGTGAAAACTCCATTTTGTTGGATTTTGGATGTTGAAACCTATTACTCATGCTATCTCTTTTACTTTTTTATAGTATCTACGTAATGACTGTTCTAGTATGTTTGTTTATGTGCTGGAAAAATTTCATGTTCCTAAGCTTTCATGTTCTGGCAAACGACAGTGTGTGCATCTGTTTCATCACTTTATGACTCTAGTGATTTCTCTAGTTTTATGACTGATGAGAAGTAAGTTTTTGACATCTCTGTCCTCTAAGGGATAGAAACTTCACATCCCCTTTAAGTGGAACATTTTATTTTGTTGTGGAAACTTTGCTAGCTTGTTCTGAAAAGGCCAAGCATAATATAACTCTTTGTTTATGCAGCCTACTAGTGTTCCATATCATTTCTCCTTTCCTCAATCTAGTGAGTTCACCGAATATTATCGTAGTTGCTGTGACTGAATATGTAGCAGATGCAGTCAAGATGTTGTATCCCCTGTGATATCAATATGCCATTTATAATTTGATGGCATTCAAAATTTTATTTCAGGAAAATAAGATACCTCACATTTCAAATAATATCTAGAATTGGGTGCTTATTTGAAATAATATATATACTTTTGAAAAGGTAACATAACATCTAATAAATAAAATCTTTAAAAGATGATAAAAGATAAGACTCTAATTGTTAAAAACCACTCAATAGACAAGTCACTAGATTTATTCTACTGTTGTTCATTAGCTCTAGGATCAGTACTACCTTGAGATACTTTTATATGTATTGCTGTTTGTTTAATAGTTTAAAGTGATCTAAAATGATCTCATCAAATGTTCTACCATTTTTGTGAATGACGTTTACCTTATTATCTATAATAATTCTTCTTCTACGTAGTAAGGCAGTACCTGCAATGTACTATAGAATAAATTGAGGAATTAAACTATCAAGTAAAATATAGGTTATGTAACTAAATTTCAATTACCTAATGACCTAAATTAGATCATTTACAATCGTGATTTTGTTAGAAACAAAAAGGTAAAGAATATCTTGAAACTTTGAAAGGTAAAGTTCTCTTGATACTGCTTGTACTAATGAATTGTTTTCTTTAAAGTTTTACTCATGTAACATAGGATATTTAATGGATGTTGGAGATAAAAGTTGGATGGATCCCCGAAGATTCACCGATGAGTATATCCATGGAGTTAATGATTTCCTAGATAAGGCATTTGAACGAGCTTCCAAGGAGATGAAATATTATGTCCTTGTAAGAAGTGCTTTAATAGTTATTGGCATTGTCGAAATGTGGTGGAGGATCACTTGATTTGTCATGGATTTGTTCATGGATACACCAAATGGGTTTTTCATGGAGAAGGGTTTTCCTCAAGAAATACGCCACATCCAACCAATGATGATGAAAATTTCGACAGGCAAGATGGTATTGATAAACTACTTCAAGATACTTTTAGAAATGTTGCAGATGACTTGAGGCATGAAGGAGTAAGAAAGGGACTATCTGAAGATGCAAAGAGATTCTTTAAGTTAGTGGAAGAAGGGAAACAAGAGTTGTATCCGAGGTGTAAGAACTTTTCTAAGTTGAATTTCACCATTCGATTATACTTGTTTAAATGCATTCACAAGTTGAGTAATGTAGCCTTTTCAGATTTGTTAGACTTGATAAAAGAGGTCATTCCCTTTGCTCAGATACCTGAGTCTTTCTACAAGGCAAAAAAGGTGATAAAAGATTTGGGTCTTCATTATGAAAAAATTCATGCATGTACTAACGATTGCATGTTATTCTGGAATGACACTGCAAAGTTCATCAAGTACTCAGTGTGTGGATCTTCTAGATGGAAAAATGTTCGTGATGACTTGACTAATAAGGTCACTCAACTTCAAGCAAAGGTTTTAAGGCACTTTCCTTTGAAGCCTAGGCTTCAGAGGATATTCATGTGTTCTGAAACATCTGTAGCTATGAGATGGCATGATACTGAACGACCCAAAGATGGAAATTTAAGACATCCTGCTGATGGGGAAGCTTGGAAGGATTTTGATTCCTTGCACCCTGACTTTGCTAGTGATGCTCGTAACGTTAGATTGGGTCTTTCAAGTGATGGTTTTAATCCATTTCGAACTATGAGCATTTCTCATAGCACATGGCCGGTTATGTTGATGAATTATAACTTATCACCATGGATTTGCATGAAACCGGAGTATATAATGTTGTCAATGATTATTACAGGTCCATCGTCTCCTGGAAATGATATTGATGTATACTTACAACCACTGATTGCAGAGTTGAAGGAACTACGGGAAGTGGGAGTGGAAACATATGATACTGTAACTAATCAAACATTTATGATGCGTGCAGCTTTATTGTGGACAATTAGTGATTTTCCAGCATTGGCAATGCTTTCCGGATGGAGTACCAAAGGGAAATGGGCATGCCCCACTTGTAATCATAACACTTATTCCCAATATCTCAAACATAGTCATAAGATGTGTTATTTGGCTCATCGAGCATTTTTGCCTCATGATCATCCTTATAGAAGAGATAAAAAATCCTTTAATGGTAAAGAGGAGCTTAAAGTTGCACCTACTCCTTTATAAGTCGTACAAGTTCTTGAAGAACTTCGTGAATTCAATAATGTTTTTGGAAAGGGCCAAAAGAAAAGAAAACGAAAAAATGATAGTCCATGGAAAAAAAAATCCATATTTTTTGAGTTGCCGTATTGGGCAACAAACAAATTGAGGCATAACCTTGATGTGATGCACATATAGAAAAATATTTGTGACAGTTTTCTTGGGACTTTATTGGATATACTTGGAAAGCCCAAAGATCATATAAATTCTCGCTATGACTTGCATGAGATGGGGATACGCAAAGAGCTTCAACCGGTAAAAGATTGTGATACTGGAAATATTCATTTGGCTAAAGCTTGTTTCTCTATGAAACCAGAAGAAAAAGGTTATTTTGCACTATTTTAAAAGATGCCAAATTACCAAAAGGATTTGCCTCTAATATATCAAGTCGTGTGCAAATTGAAGATATGAAAGTATCAGCATACAAAAGCCACGATGCTCATTTCATATTACATTACTTGATCCAGGTTGCTGTCAGAAAAGTGTTGCCCAAGAATGTGTCTTTGATCTTAATAAGGTTGGGGAATTATTTTAGAGCCATATGTAGTAAGGTTATAAGAAGAAACGATCTTGATAAGCTGAACGCTGAAATCATAGATATAGAATGTGAGATTGAAAAGATTTTTCCTCCATCCCTTTTTGATATAATGACACATTTGCCTATCCATTTAGTGGATGAAATTAAGCTTGAAGGCCTGACTCATTTGCGTTGGATGTATTCTACTGAAAGAACTATGTGTGACTTCAAGGGGCTTGTTCGTAATCGAAAAAATTCAGAAGGGGCAATAGTAGAGGGTTTTTCAGCTATAGTGTGTTTGACCTTTATTTCGAGATACCTACCTGATATGGTGAAGACAACATTTAGTAGGTATCAAACCGAGGATGATGAGGACAATCAAATAGGGGAAGGTAATGTGTCACCTTTATTTCCTAAGACTGGTCATCCAATCGGAAGTATGAATAAAAGGAAAGGCAAGACTTTTAACATGGAGCATAATGAGTGGTTTGAAGCTCATCGATATGTTTTGTTCAATATTGGAGATGAAACAGTAGAGACATTCATCAAGTAAGATAAAATAGTCATTTGCTTTTAAATTTAAATTCCATTAATAAGGTTACATTGATTAAATTGCATATCATTCTTGCAGGGAACATAAGAATTTAATTGATAATCGTACTAGAGGAAATGCATGGGTAAAAGCACAAATCCACAGTAGAGAATTCAGTGATTGGTTTAGGGATAAAGTTAAAAATATTGAAGTGTCCAATCATTTAAGATGGCTAGCTAAAGGACCTAATTTTGTGGCTAAAAGATATACTGGATATTTCATTAATGGATATAGATTTCATACAAAGACACGGGATGTCCCTTGCAAGACTCAGAATAGTGGAGTGACTTTGACAGCAACAACAAATAGATTTGCTAGCGCTAGGGCACAAAATCCTATCGATGGAATGGTTATCTATTATGGAATTATTCAGGATATCATTGAGATTGATTATTGGGGTTGCTTTAGTGTTGTACTTTTTAGCTGTGATTGGTTTCATAATGAAGTTGATGAATATGGATTGACTCGGGTATACTTCAATAAAAAATGCAGCACGAATGATCCTTTTGTACTAGCATCTCAAGTGCATCAAGTTTTTTATGTGGAAGACCCAATTGAGAAAAATGTATATTATGCAAGACATAAAGTTCCAGTGGATTTGTATGATTTGGAGGAAGAGAATTGTCCTAATATTGAAGAAACATTTTGGAGAGAGACTAACGATGACATTGGTTCATCAAAAAGAGTACTCGATGTAGATGTTAGATGGTCGAGAGAAGATCTCCCTGTTGATATCATTGATCTGCCTACCATTGCACAACATTCAGAAGATGTAACTATGCAAACATCAGAAGAGGAGGATGAATTTGATGACACTGATTGGGATTGGATGGAGGCTGATGATTGACAAAAGATCTTCCTAACTTGTTCAATACATTCTCTTCTTCATTTTTTTGTAGTGAGTAATAAATACCTTTTTGAGTTGCATCATATAAAGTATGAATGTCGATTGGACTCTATTTGGATTTCTGCTTATTTGCTACTGCTAGTTGCTTGATTTCTGCTTATTTGTTTTGAAATATTTTCTTGCTAATGTTGCTACTATAGATATATTAGTACAGATCTTATTGTTGTTTGTTCTTCTCACTTTCATTGTTTTTGTTATTCACATTTGAAAATTCTACACTACGTAGCTTCTTCTGCCTTATTTTTACACCGATTTGGATAGTCATGAGTCAACAAGAGTCTTCAAAAAGAAACAAAAGAGCAAAAAATAAGACATATGCTAAACCTGGATCATTATCATTCTTGGCAAATAAAAAACGATGGTTATTGACAACAAATGAAAATTTTCAAGCTATAGAGTCAAAGAAAGGACATCTGCTTAAATTAATTGAACAACAACCAGTAGCACTACAATCTGAAGCTATTGGACAATCTGTAGAGGAGCAGCCTCTTGAGCATCCTCGTGAGCAGCCTCTTGAGCAACCTCTTGAGCAGCAACCTATAGAAGATCAAGTGCAAATGAACTCTGTCACTCCTCCAACTAGTGAACAACCTGAAGAACAAGGTAACATATAAACTTAGAAACTTACTAAATTCATCTATGAATTCTAATTTCTTATATTTTCTTATAGCTGAAGGTGTTTCCAGTAAAAACAAAAGAGGTCAAACGCAAATGCATAATTTACATGCACGAAAAGAGCGTAAATTGATCTTATTGAATAGGCTAAATCAACCAGTTGGTCCTACTGAGAACGTTGTGATCGAGTTAAGTAGCTTCCTAGGTACATTGGCAAGAAATGCTACTCTTTGCCCATTTGATATATTTGATTGGGGGAGCATGGATACTAAAAAGGATTTATGGGATTATACTAATGTTTGGAGTTTTCAATATTTAATTTCTTCTAGAATTATTTTACTTCAATTGGCAAACTGAATGACACCAAATTGTAGGAGAAATACATTATTCCTGAGGCTGCAAAAGATTGGGCTTTGGTAACAATTCGAGAGGCTTGGAGAAGGCATAGAAGTGACTTGAAGATAAATTATTACGATCCATATGACAATGATGAAATTCGAATGGCAAAAAAGCCTGGTCATATTCCAGAATATCAGTTTAGAGAGCTCCTTAAATATTGGAAATCTGAGAAATTCAAGGTCAAATGTAGTTCAGAATCTGAAACAACTAGCTTATTCTTCTCCTGATCTCTTTTGTGATATAGTTGCTGCTACAATTTTATTTTTCTTTAACTTTCTCTTCTCTGTTGCAATATTGTTGCAAGTTGTTACTTCTTCCAGTGTGGTAGTCACAACTAAAACGGAGGATTTTGCTCCAATCTTAGAGAATGTTCATTAAGTGAGATTTTTATGCTTATCTCACTGTATAGATAAGATTAACAGCCAAATGTTTTATGTTCCTGACTGTTTTTCTTATTTATTATAGTTTAAACTCAATAATTTCAGTTAGAAGTTGATAAGATACAAATGTAACAGGATAAAAAGTCACATGTTCAACTCTTTACTCAAAAAGAAAAATCTTAAGAACTTAATTATTAGTTAAGTTTGATCGCTGAAATTTGCATCAAGGTTTCATTAAACTAAGTGCCCTTTTGGATAAACTTTTTTTAGGTGCTTTTGACTCGTGATTTAAAACATACTCATGACTAATCTTAAGGGGTGCTAACCTGTTTTACTCACTAAATTGGTTTGAATAAAATGTTGACAAATTGTTATGAGTACCTTAAAGAGAGACTTCAATGTTGGCATATTTATGCAACTGTAAGCTAAGCTTTCTAATAATGTGATGGTGATTGGGTTGTAAGTTTTCACTTGTTTGACTCATATTCTATTTATGTTTGATGGTGTTATGAATCAAGCTTTTAAACTTACAAAACTAAGGTCTGCAGATTGGTTTTAGCTTCATAACATTTATACTTACAAAGCATATTCTTTACTTGGATTTGTTAAAAAAGAAATATTGAGACATTGACCTCGTTTAGTACATTATGTAGCACCCATATGCCTTTTGTTAACATTATTGATTCATTTATTTGCAGAAAATGTCTGAAACAAATACTAAGAACCGAAAAAAGCTGATGAATCCACACACAGCAGGCAAAAAGAGTTTTGCTTTAATCCGTAGTAAATTGGTGTGTTCTCTTATTTATTATCTAGTCTTAACCTATCATTTAAGCAACTCCTGATATCTATTTTTATGTGACTAGGAAAAAGAAAAGGAATATGTATCAGCTAAGGAGCTCTTTGTGGTCACAAGAACAAGAAAACCTGGTCGTTTGTACAAGGCATCGAATGAGAACACAACTAGTAAAATTGTACGAATAGTGTCAATATTTTTTTTTTACTGAGACCAATTATTTATTCTAAATTTTAATTTACAAGAATGCTTGTTGGATATGCTTTGTTAGGCTGAAACGGAGGAAATTGAAAAGCAAATGAGCACAGATGGTCAGTCTGTTGATGCATTTTCAGCCGTCATGGGTCCTGAACATCCGGGACGTCTAAGACTATATGGAGTGGGGGTTACAAAGACAACTTTGAAAAAGAAAGTTGACAATTCTGAACCAACTTTGAATGCAACAAATGATGTAGTGCAACAAATCCAAGGATGCAAAAAATGGAGAAACAAATGGAAGAACAAAGGAGACCTATGCGACAAGAAGTTATTGCAGATGTAGTTGCACAACTTCAGCATGCAGGGTTAATTGATCCTAACATACTAGCAGCATTGTCTGTTCCTTCCCCAAGAGAAGCTACTTCTGCTCAAACAGCCGAGCAAGGTTTGTCGCTATTTATTCTGATTGTGGCCTTGTCAGCTATTTATTTTAATTGTGGCCTTGTTGGCTATTTATTCTGATTGTGGCCTTGTCGACTACTTATTCTGATTGTGGCCTTGTC